TGATTCTATAAGATGAAGGGAGACTCTTCTTGGGGTGTGACAGTGAGAGGCATCAGACATCTGTTGCTACACAGGAAATTCTAGTTAGAAAAGATGACAAAGAATTCACACTTAAGGCAGGTGACCATAGGACCAGGTGCCCAGCCAGGCTGCCGAATCACATCCACGGACACAAAATGCAGACTGGCAAGGCCCTCGGTAAGCTCTGAAATTCAAACGTGGGCTTCTGCGCAAGCACCAAGAACTAGCAGAGTGGATCAATACTTGGATGTTCAAAGGAGAAGTCTACAGTACCATGGAAAACCCAGTGCAACATTTTTCTACAAGAGCACATTAATTAGAACTAGTAGAAAAGCTGGTGACAAGGGGCATCTCTGATGGGGGCCTACAAGGACACCAGAGAGGGACTCTTCATCAGGGACTGTAGTGATAGGACAAGGGTGATGGGTTCAAACTGAAACAGGGGAAGTTTAGATTGGATCTAAGGAAGAAGTTCTTTACTGTGAGGGTGGTGAGGCACTGGAATGGGTTGCCCAGGGAAGTTGTGAATGCTCCATCCCTGGCAGTGTTCAAGGCCAGGCTGGACAGAGCCTTGGGTGACATGGTTTAGTGTGAGGGGTCCCTGCCCATGGCAGGGGGGTTGGAACTGGATGATCTTAAGGTCCTTTCCATCCCAAACAATTCTTCAGCTGAGAAGCTGAAATAGCAAACACTGCAGAGAAACACAAGAAGCTGCACAGGCAAAGTGTTCATGAGATAAATGTGGACAAAGTCCCACTGAAAATGCACAAAATAACTGGAAAGAAGGATTGAATGGAGAAGTGTACTGGTAAAAATACAGGTTCTAACGATAAACATAAACTTAAAGATAGACTGAACAATTAAAGCAAAGGGATGCTCTGCAGGGAAATTTTAGGCTTATGTCTTGTTAATAAGTACCTGCACCTTAGTATTAGGAGATGGATAGCTCAAATATTTGGGAATGTTGTGGTTCTACCAGTGAATTAATAAATCAGTTACGAATCACCCCACTGCCAATTAATGGCAGACTATCATAAGTTGGAAGGGACACAAGGATTGAATCCAGGCCCCCTGCTCCTTGCAGGACTACATAAAACTAAACCATATAACTAAGAGCATCGTCAGGACAGTGCCTGAACTCTGACAGAGTTGGTGTTGTGACCACTTCTATGGGGAGCCTGTTCCATAACCCACCACCTCTCAGTGAAGAGCCTGCTCCTAACGTCCAGTCTGAACTTCCCCTGGTGCAGCTTCATTCCATTTCCTCATGTCCTCTTGCTGGTCACCAAGAGAAGAGATCAGCACCTTCCCCTCCACTGCCTCCCTTGAGGAAGACGAGGTCACCCTTCAGCCTTCCCTTCTCCAAACTGAACAAACCAAGTGACCTCAGCCACTTCTCAGAAGTCTTATCCTGAGGGCCTTCTACCATCCTGGTCATCTCTGGACACAGCCCATTCGTTTGATGTCCTTACACTGAGGAGCCCCAGACTGCACAGAGTAGTCGAGGTGAGGATGCACCAGTGCAGTGTAGAGTGGGACAGTTCCTTCTTATTGCTGGACAATGGAGGTTCGTTGCTGACTACTGATTCACAATTACATTTTGGCTTTTAAAACAACATCCAAGTTCACTCCAGAAAACATCCACTATTCTCCATTGCCCAAAATACAAATAAGTGGTAACAGGTTCAAATTTAAACAGGGGAAGTTTGGACTTGATATAAGGAAGGAATTCGTTCCTGTTAGGGTGGTGAGGCACTGGAATGGGTTGCCCAAGGAAGTTGTGAATGCTCCATCCCTGGCAAGTGTTCAAGGCCAGGTTGCACAGAGCCTTGGGTGACATGGTTTAGTGTGAGGTGTCCCTCCCATGGCAAGGGGCTTGGAACTGGGTGATATTAAGGTCCTTTCCAACCCAAACCATTCTATGATTCTATGAAAATATAATTCAGAGGTGTTCTGCAGGGATGGCAATGGCAATAACCACAAATTTAAGTACCATTTCCACAAAATGGTACAGAGATGACAGTAACAGAGGCTGAAATACATCTTATTACACAAAACTCACTGGCAAATTAGCAGCATTACATCCCAGCTACTGAAGAATCCCTCATATTCCAAGTAACACCATATTTATAATTTGAGTTCCCTTGCTGGAAATGGATGGATTGATTCTGACCATACAGGCAAGAGAAGTTATTCCACAAATATTTTACCGCTTCAGCTATAAACCTTGAGAGCTTTATACCCAGAACATGGGAATGCCTCTGCTTAGAAAGCACTGGTAACTGGAATAGAACAGGTTACTGCATAGCAATGGTACAGTGGAAGCTTCGACATACATCCTCAGTTAACTGACATCATAAAATGCCATCAGTACTGAATTCAGCTAATCAGGTTTTCAAGCAGTTTCCAGCTAATCAGATTCTCAGTCACAGCTGCTTTTCATGCAATAACCAAACCCCACATGCAACCCAAATTGGATAATACACAGTCAATACACACACAGAGATGCTTCCAGACCATTACCAGACGCTCTCACTACTTCCCTGCGAGGAAAGGAGGTGAGATAGTGCTGTCATTCATTCATTTATGATAAACCAGGGTGAGAGCCAGGGTCCACGCAGCCTCAAGTGCCTGGGAACCATAAAGCCAGCAGAGGCTTCCTGCAGTTCCACCCTAATGCTTTCTGACAGGAGACCCGACCAAAGGTTCTCACACAAGAAAGTGGTGTTAACAGGCACCCATCTCTGGTTTTACGAGGGGCACACTGCTGCTTGCTACAGCGATTCTGGGGTAGAGAAGAACGCTCTGGCACTTCTGCTTCAGAACCGAAGCAGATCTGACATGAAAGTGGATTTCTGGTGCTGTTTCCCTTGCAACAAAGGGGGAGCAAAGCGTGCAAGCCCCAACGCGAGAAACATACCGGCTCTTTCAGCCGGTTACTGCACATGAGGCACAGCCGGTATCAAAACAAGCCGTTCTGACTAACTCCACTCCTCCTCGCTCCCAAAGGCACAGACCAGCCGGGACAGGCTCATCGGCGCCCGACCAAAGCAGGACCCCGGCTCCGCGCTTACTCAGCGGCCTAACGAGCCGGAGGCTCTGAGGAGGCTGCAGGTGAGCACCGCTGCTTGCAACACGGTTCCACCTAAGACCCACCCTCGGCTGGCCCGGACCCGCCAGCCACCGCCTCACCCCGGGGCTCCAGCAACACCGAGCCACGTTTCCCGAGCGGCGCTGGCTCCCCGGGGCAGGACCCCCGTGCGGGGCCGCCCTCCACCGCCTCTCGGGGGGATGCAGTGGCTCCCACACAGGCACCGCTCCGCACCAGGTCCCGTCCCGCGGCAGCACCAAGCCCGGGGCTGCGGGGTGGACGGCACCGCAGAGAGGGGCTCTCCCCGCTGCAGCGCAGCTCCCCGTGCCCCGCTCACCTGCTGTTGGATCTTGCCGTCCTCGGTGACCACCCAGTGCGTGGTGGCAGCGGTGGGCCGCGTTCCCGAGGCCAGCAGCGAGCACAGCCCCAGGGCCCAGCCGGAGAAGACCCACGCCCGCCCCAGCCCGCCCCGCCCGGGCGCTCCTGCCGCCGCCATCTTCCCCAATCCCGGCCTGCCCGCTCCACCCGGAACCGGAATCGCCGCCGCCGCCATTTTGGGAGGGGAGGGCGGTGCCGCCGCTCTCGAAGGACGGGGTTGGCTCTGCGGCTGCCGCGGGGCGCTCCCTCAGCGGGCGCCGGGAGCTTCACGGCCGGGTGGCGGCGGTACCAGGCACCGGTGCGGGGCTCCGTGTGGCAGCACCGCGTACGGAGTGGCTCCGCCCGGGCTGAGCGCGGTCTGGTAACGCTGAGTCCGGTTAGTGAGCCTTTATGCACTTCAAACGGGCAGAGTCGCAGTCGGGAGCTCTTGTGCAAACGACCAGCGTTTTCATTAAAAACCCATTAATTTCTATTTAGTGCACGCCAAAACGTCTGTCACAACAGCCTGAGGAGACAGCAAACGGAACCGTGCCTGCGGCTGCCCACCCCGCCGGCTCACCAAGGAGCGGGGTGAAGGTAGCTCCGAACCACATCACTCCTGACGCTTTACAGTTACAGTTAGATGAACTCTTCATTTCCTATGCCAGTTAACAGTAAATACGAACCCAGCAGCACCAGTCTCCTTACCCAGCCCTGGGTGAGCTCTAAAAGCTACTACATTCGAGTGTTGGTCTGTCTCACCTTTCGAAGTTTGGAAGCAAGCTGCAATCAGTTTGCTTTTTGAGAAACCCCCACTTCCCAGAGCCTGTAACACACTCACATTTGACATATACCTATATAACATATATAGCATACATAACATATAAACCTATAAATACAAGTAAGGAAAAAATGCTTACAAATGGGGTCACAGCGATTAAACTAATGCAAGGCATTCAGTCGTCTTCCAGGATAAAGAACATATTCCCACAATAGTTCATTACTGATGCCAGTGTTCGTATCATATATATTACAGAGTTCACCCAAAAGACCCCAAAACAAATCCCACCACGTACAGGCTGCTCCAATCCACTCTTGCTCTACCATAAGATGCTAACAAATTTTCCTGCACTGTCAACATCTAGGAGATAGAGACAATGAATGACTCCTTTCACATGATAATTCCTATATAAGATCTATGACATGTAGCTTTTGCTGAACACTACCCAGAATTTAGCATTTAAAAGTTAGAATCATAGAATGGTTTGGGTTGGAAAGAGCCTTAAGATCATCTAGATCCAACTCCCTGCCATGGGCAGGGACACCACACACTAAACCATGTCACCCAAGACAACCCAAGTTGAACTGCTTAATAGCAAGATGACATTATCTGTTTCAACTAAGACCTATTCATTAGTGGCAAACATCTACAGCAATCTAAGGAGTAAGGCATTACAACAAGGTACCACAGTACCCTTTTACTAAGCCAACACAAAATGCTGCAGAGTAACTGTCAAACAGTGAGCCAAACAAAATTACAAAATGAATTTATTCCAAAAGCATAAGGGAACATGTACAATTCAACAGGATGGTAAACAGGTGTCTCCACAAGAAATGAAATATGAAACTGGGAGGAGAAAGGGAGGATTAACTACTTCTGAGGCCACAAGGACTTTGCACATCACCTCTGAAAACAGGAGTCCCCTAAAGAAAACTCACTCGAAATTCAAAGGAGGAAGCTGCTAGTACCTGGTTATTAGTCTAAATACAAGCTATGTTTAGGCTTTGAGATTACACTTTTAAAGCCCTTCAAAACACAAATGACAGCCACAAGTGCAAACTGTATTGTCCCCAGTGGAAGCTTATTACTAATCTAGTGCTTATTTTCAAAGTGATATTTTGACCTCACAAATTTTCCTTGAAAGCTTTTCACCAAGTTTGTTGGGTTTAGGGACTAATCTTGAGTTTAACACCTGCCATGTAATCAGAAACAGTCAGCTCACATGGCCTGGAATGTCCAAAGTTTGCTGCCTCCTGCTCCAGAATTAAGCAAAACCAGACTTCTAATTCAGCATCAATGTCTCTTAACTTAGTCATATTTCTGGTATTCTGGCCTTCTGACTGTAGTGATAAATACCAAAGAGTATTAAGGAAGACACCCAAGTCAGATTCACAAGCTAACACAAATGGAACTAGGAGGGGAAACATCACTTTCAGGCATTTGTCTGCAGATATCAAATGGCTGGACAAAAGAAAAGGGTGAGGAATAATCTTCATTCTTCTAAAGTCTAAGCTATTTTACATCAACACGCCCTGGAACACTTATCAAAATCCTTTTCCTCCGTCTCAACTTCTTTTTACTATCTGCTAGTTCCTTTACAATGCTGAATGACCTGAGAAGTAAAAGTTTGAGCGGTGAGAATAAAAAAAAACCCAAAGCATTGTGCTCTTACATTGTATTTTCTGGGTGCACACCAGTAAATAAGAATCCCAAGTTGCTATGGACAAAAACATAACATGGAATTGTTAGCTTTTCCACCTGAATCGAACTACATAGTTGGAATTTTTTCAGTGTTACTCAAAATATGATTTTATTTATATATTTTTAAATGCAACTGAATTGTTTAAAAAATTAAATCAAAAAGCCCACAAAACCAAACCAAGACTAAAACCAACCCTCAAGTGCCAACTAATCCAGAAACCTGCAGAACACAGAAAAGAGCCAGGTATTGCTACAGTCCAGCTCCAACCTATGAAGCTTAATCACTGCATCAGTCTTTAATCATTCCTATAAGAATTCTAGTCATTTATTGGTTTTCCTGTTCATTGAGTGAAATTTCACGGCATAACTCTATGCTCATATTTATTTTCAACATTAAAAATGAATTTGCAAAACATCACTTTCTGCATTACAATGCACGGAGAAGAGTAAGATGTGCAAACCAAAAGCCACCACAATTTTCCACATCTCTAAGTAAAAGGACTGCTTCATGCTACAGGCAAAAGTTGTTGCAAACTTTATAAAACCAGCATGGATCTCATTCAAGTCAATTGACAAAAAAAAAGAAAACCAAAGCAAATTTAACAGTACTCTTCTCCACATATTGCAAAATGTGGTTATACAGATGAGGAAAGGATTAGTTCAGCTGCTAAGCTTATCTGACACGTATCTCTGTTGCCATGCCTTTCCTATCCATTACTTAATAAACTCAATTATATAGTTTCAGTTATGCACTAGCTAATTTTTAGGTTAATGTACAAACTGTCAAGATGTAGCTTTTGATAAAATTCTACACTCTTTTCCAATTTTGAATCCTGAAGACACTTCAAAAATAAGGAACCCAAAACTGCTAACTGGAAGCATCCAAAAATACAGTTGTAGTTTCACTATGGACAAGTTGTAGTCCGTTAGAAAAGTAGATCATACATACAAAGGTATAAAGAACACTTAAGTCAGTCTCAGTGGAAGGCAGTCCTTGAAGGAAGCAGTACTGCAGGCAAACTTGCTGAGTAGCACTTTCATTTTAGCCCCTGCAGGGCATGGAAGACTTCAGCGATTTACTCAGTAGATTCTTCCTCGGCTACGATTGCCACGTCCTCCCCAGCCTCTTCCTCGGCCACCCCGGAAACCACCTCTTTGCTCTGAAATAGAAGTCAAAGCTTTTCATGCAGGTTTTGTGCCGTATACAGGTTAAATAGCAATAACTGGAGGTACTGAAGGGCTGACTGAAGCCTCTGAGGTTAACCCTGCTTAAACACCATGAGACTTCAGAGTTATGCTTTGATGGACAATGGACACCACTATTTTGAAAAGGAGGCCAAGAGAATTGGCTTCTATAAATTAAATGTAGCCCTTTGCATACTGACATTATGATAAAAAACTTCCATTATTTATACTTCGGCCAATCTACTGTCACAGGATTGAAAACTGATCTGTAAGGAACTTCATTACGTTACTTAGCTTGTCCTTCTGGCCAGTAACACCCTGTCTGCGATGAGGTGTCGGTCTGAAAGGATTTGCTCCTCATGACTTTATAAAATGATGGAAAACCACACCTTTGCCAGTCTGCCTGTCCTTTTCTATCCTTAACATTGAGTTATGAGCAATACAATGAAGTTCTTTTGGTGGGCTGATACCTTAACTGTAATCAAAAATTTCAGACCTAAATAGATACTACACAAACTATTTGTATGTTATAGAAGTTTTCCCCTTTCCCTTCACTAAGAACAATCTGATCATAGCAAATGCAACCCCAACACCACTTTATTAAAGTTTCCCTGGATTTGTTTGATATCAAAATCTTATTTCCCCTCCATGCTTTCTCTTTATGCAGAGTCTTAAAATGCAATTCATATTAATCTAGAAAGAGAACTATGTGCTTATTTTAAAGAGTATAAAAAGCAAAAGCTGATCAGAGACCTAAGCATCTCACTAACAAGAAACAGCAGCAAGCAGTAAAACATTTTTGGTTGTAAACCTGATTTTTATAACTGTAGGACTACAAGCTTATCTTAAAAGACACAGGTGCATCACCTGGAGTATGCAGTAAGAAATTTGCAATAGATTTCATCTTTTCACTTTGTTTCATATAAAAATCAGTGTTTTATATCAGTTTTTCAGCCTATGGGCACAGGTGATTTTTAGACTGTTTACCTGATACAGGCAGGACCAATGGGCCCACAGGGAAGGCAACAAGAATACGGTGCTGCCATTGTCGGGCCTGTTCATCCAGTCTGCAACTACTCTCATGCTTTGCCCAGAAATGACTTGCAGAGAGAAAGAGTCACTCTGGAAGCATGAGGACATAACTGTGTGTATGCACAGTGAACCTGGCAGCTCCTAGGAGTTCTGGATCAGGTCTGCAACATCAGCAGTGGCTATAATAGGAATTCAACACCAGTCCAGTTGTATGACACAAAGTGGCCCAGCTCTGCCACTTGCAGCAACTGCTCTGTCCAATGGGACATTTAGGGTGCAAGTGCTGTATGTCATAACAAAGAACACAATAGTTCAATTACTAACTGTATGTATTAAAACACACAAAGGACATAAGTCTATAGGCTGGTAACACTCAAACACTAATAAATCAATGAGCTAGAAAGAGTCCATTACACGCAAAACCACATGACAGCACAATCTGATCTAACAAGAATGTGACAGTAACTTGGCTTAATTTGTTTTTTCCCCCCACCCAAGGCACAACTGTCACTACACAAAGTTGCTTCCAAGCTGCCTAACTTACCGTAAGAAAAACTACCCAGGTTACTGCTGTATTTTCCACTGGGAGGATTATATATTTGCCTGGCATCCCTTTTTGGTCCTGCCGAAGCTTTCTTTGGGGGTGAACTTGAGGTTGTATCTTCACTTGTTCTTTTTTGACTGACAGAAAAAACACAAACAGATCATTATACCCCTGTGGTGACAAGTGCAGGAATAGCAGTTCAGCCTGAAAGATAAACCACTAGAAGTTAGAAGCAGCTAATGAAGATGCCCTGAATAACACTTCAAAAGAGGAAATAAGGTAGTCTCCAGGTGATTTGGTCTATCATATCCCTAACAGAAGAGTAAGATTATCACTCCACAGCCTTAACTCCTTCCAGGACGGATGTTATTTTGGATAGTGAAACTTTTAGCTCACATGTTATGGATTACATATATATATATATAGCTTGGGATCTTTATTTTGTAAACAGCAAAAATTAACACCACTGTTTTCATTCTTTTAATGAAAAACTCTCACCTTGCATCTGCCTTCTGCACTGGTTTCCAGGACAGTGTAACTGTACTTTTGTAGGAAGGAGGAATGTGGAAGAGATCCTATGGAGGCAAAATCAGAGTTTATTCTACAGTTAAATTCACATTGACTGCACTTCAAAACTTTAGCTACCTACTAAGACACCATAATAACAGTTATGTTCCTGTGATTTCAAATCCTTTCTGAAGTCCCATGGCAGAGGGAGAAGGTGCCTTACTGCCTTATCTGGCTACCTGAGACTTCACTAGGAAATTCAAATGAGATTTATACTAACAAAGTAATATCTTATACAGATGTTATATGCTTTCTCTTTCTCCCTTTGCACATCAAGCACCTTATAATGAACTACAGTGGTTCCTGCAGGGAACCTATGATAACCCTATGATGGTAAATGATAAGCCTCTCAATACTGTGGCCAGAGTTTTTGGTTCATTGTGGTAAGTTAGATGGGAAGTGAAGAAAGAGAAGAAAAGGTGGTTAGAAGGAATCAGAATGGTTTTGAGCGCTCTGGATTGAAGTCTCTTCCTGCAACCCATCTCTCCTAGACTCCCTGGAGAAAAAGGTTCTGTGTGGCACCTGCTTTGCCTCCTCCCTCCTTTACATCTCCTGCACTTCTTCAAACTATTCCTTACAGTCCCTGTCACTGCAGGAAAGGGAAACTGCAAGGAAAAAAGGCATGGCCAAAATCCAAAGACCCCTACAGCAAGGTCTTCTGCTCCTGGGGCAACTACTGCTGTAAAAAAGGGTCTCACCACAGTAAAGCAGCAGCAACCCTGAGCTGGCAAACACTAATTTAACACAGTACAACTTTGATAAAATCTGTTCCTTTTCTTTGTACATGTTACTCTACTGTGTATTTACTCCTTCAGGATGTGAGGACTTACCTTAATTAAAACATTAATGTTGTTGGTTATTTTCAAGGCAACCACTTTTATCTTGTTCTGTAAAAAAAGAAACACCACTGAGTACCTATTCCAGTAGCTTTAAATTACATCAACTGCACTTGATGAAGTTGCACCATTAAACTGACTGCTCTTCCTAGTGAACTGCTACAGCAATAGTAATAGTGAAAGGTGTGTACACTTCTGAGTTTTCATTACAACTATTTTTAGGTTTCTTGCAGTTTTACACTAGTTGCTTTTCATGTTCCAGTGTACTTCCCACTAAATCCCTCCCCATATATGAAGGTTTCCCCTTCAAAACAGAACCAGAGCACAGTTACACCAAATACATGGGGATGCATAGAGCAGCTGATAGTAGAAACTAAAATATCACCGTAGCTTGCAAAATTCAGCATTGGTTAAGATCCATTTGCAATAGATGTTAGCCTTCATCTGTTTGCCCGCTTACAACAGACTGCAGCCCACTAATATGTGCCAATGGTTACTCTGGTAGGCTCAGTTAGAAAAATCAGCATTCCCGAGCAATACTTACCTCCTCTGTTTTCAAAGCTTCTCCTGTTTTGCCTTGAAGTGCGAGACGAAGCTGTCGAATATACACCTGCAAGCCTCGAGCAAAATACTGTAGCCTAAAAGATTTAAAAGCTATCTGTTAATAACATATTCCCATAAAATAGAAGCATAAGCAAAGGGAAGCTGGAATCTCTTTCCCCTTTAGGAAAAACACTCAAAGTCTTTCACCAATCTGATTTGTGCTTCTTTAGCATGTAATAATCCATATTTTGTAACAGAACCCTTAACACATATCTCTCAATGATTACCTGATTTTAAAGTCTTTCAGTTTCTCAGCATTCAGCTTGGCCGTGAGGAAGTCCGGAAGCTTACGTCCCAGCTGATGGAAGCTGTACAACAAACACTCCACATAACTGAACTGCAACTTGGGCTCCTCACTGCCAGCATTTTCCCCATTCTCCGCTTCCTCTGGAGGAAGGGGCATATACTCCTAACAAACAGAAAGGAAAACCAAATACATGAGATACATTTACACACTCTGACTGATCTTTTGCAGTGTATGAAACTGGAGGATGTATTTATGCTGACATTTTAAGAAGTATCCCTGATCCCTATACTAATGTGATGAACTGCTGCATGAAGTCTTGGTGCAGGTAGTCTACCTATACTTATGTGACTTGACACCTCTAAGAGCAAACATTACAGTAGCACTGCTACCACAGGAAGCAACAATGTACTACACCAGGGCTTCTGAAACAGCACTGAATTTGCTTGAAATTGTCAGTGCAGATACAGCCTTTAATGAGATCAGCATGAGTCTCTCATAATTACAATACTAAGAACAAAACCACATGAGTTTACTGGATTAAAAACATGATACAGGTAACAGCTCCCTATAAAGGCTTTCAATTGCAAAATGATGTTTGACCTTTATCATGGACAGAGCTACCTTTGAAATAGCCGCTTCAGAAAAAGCATGAATAGATTAAGAGATAAAAATAACTTGTTTTGATGAGAACTTTTTTAGTGTTTTGCACTAAAAACAGTAAAAATTGAGTGAGTCTTACCAGTAATTTATCAAACAGCTTCTTCAAATTTGATTCAAGCTTTTCCATATCGCCGCAAAATGAGCTCATTTCAGCAAGCAGCTTCAAAACCTACATGTAAGGACAGCTGGGTTTTTGTGTGTTAACAGAAAAGTACAAAGGCTTAACTTTAAACCTAAAAGTGTAAACCTCACATCATTAAGGCTGCAGAGCAGAGGTCACCTATTACAGTGAAACCCAATCATCAGGCAAGACAACAAGGAGGAACATGTCTGGTCTGTTTTTCATGTCCTCAAACAGAAACACAGGTTTGTGTGTCTAATCCCAACAGGCATCATTAGTCAACAAGTAAATAAAGCTTCCTGTCCCACGTCTGCAACGCAGCTCACCTTCAAAGTGAGACTCCGAAATGTACCTGAAGCTGCAGCACTGATTAACGTAAGCAGAATTACAGACACGAAGCCACTCCCTTAGGAGGCAGAATTAACATAAGCCACATCTAGTTTATGCAACAATCAATTCAGTAACTGCTATGTGCTTAAAAAAGATTGACAGCAATATAAAAATGATTATACCAATCTACTTAGTCCAGTCGTGCCTCGAAGCTGGGGACTAATGACACATGCTTTAAAAGGCAATGCTCAGCCATGCCTCAGTACAGCAAACTTTTTCTCTAGTTTAACTGCCTTCTCTCCTAGCCAAGAACTGAAACCCCCCTAAGAAAGGAGTTCTCAATTTGTAAATGGCTGTCTTCATCTAAGGTGCCTGTATTTTTCTATGATTTCAAAGACATTTTAGCTTTGGCTTACCTCTAACTGGATATCAAGACCCTCTACTGGCGTAGTCAAAGAACCGAGGTTTGGCAGAACATGCTCACAGAAGTAAGTAACAAATTTTGTGGAATGAACGTTTTTCTGCAGAGAACAACACATTATTCAGGTTACTCTGAGTTTGAAGGAGTTAAATGTTTCTCCCCATCACTCCACCAACCTTATACATAAGTGCCTACCGCATAGCTACACCTTAAAGCTTTACTGAATTCCCTGCAACTCCTACAACATAAACTCTTCCAAGTAGCTTAAACTCAGAGGCTGTCTGCAACAGGGGCTGAAAACTGTCTACAACCCAACAGGTCTTTAAACACTGCAATTGCCTGGTAGTAGATATAAATGAATTAAACCTCATATACGTATGAACTTAATGTGAGAATTTTATCATAATTCACTGTAACACCTTAAATTTGAAAGAAAAGGTCAAGAGCAGAGAATAACACAAAAACTCTTTGTATTCAGAGGCTTTAAGGATGTTTCCAACATTTTAATGCATTAGAAACTGAAGGTGGAGAGGTACTGATACACTCTCATTCTAACATAATCATTGACAACACCAAAGAGTAACTACAGCCATTAACTTTCCACAATATTCCTCGTGCAAAGCAAACAAATACATACTGAAAAGAGTGGCACTGCCTGTCGGGTACACTGCAGAAGTCTGTCCACACAGTCTGGGTCAGATGGATTGAATGTTTGTTCCAGGTCAGCTTGTTCAGCCACCAGCTCCACTAGTTGTTGCCTCCCACTTACTGTCTGTAAGCTTTTTAATCCAGACAATATCTTCATGAACAGAACAAATTCCTCACCCGTTACATCTTCCAGCACCTTAAGAGAATTCCAGAAAACATAGCTGTTAAGTTGGTAATTTGCAAACCTCCAAGTCAAACTCAACTGATTTGAAAAGGTAAAGTAGGCAAATATTAAGCATTTAAATTCAGCTTCTTGTTATTCAAAGATAGAAAAGTTTAAAGGAACACATGAAAACATGCAGTATAAGTGTATGCACCCCCAAATCAAGGTTAACTACCATCAAGTTGTGCATAAGAAACATAATTTTTCTTGGACTCTAATTTTAAGAATAAATTTCTTATCTAACAAAGTTGTACGCTTCAGGCAGAGTAAAAAGTAAGTAAGTATCTACTCCTTATTAATTGTTTTAGTACTTTTTGCATCTTTCACAGCATGTGGAATTTATAGGAATTTCATGTAATTCAGTATAGACGAATGCAAAGTCCTGCACCAAGGATGAGCCAACTTCCTGCATCAGCACATGCTGGGGACTGAGTGGCTGGGGAACTGCTCTGCTGAAAAGACCCTGAGGGTTCTGGGGGACAGCAGGATAAATATGTCAGTAGCATTCCTTGGGTGATGAACTGTGTTCCTGCGCTATGACAAGAGCATGGCCAGTAGACAGAGAAGCAAAGGGACTGAGGATTCTCCTTTGCTATACCCTTATTAGATCAAACCTAGAATACCGCACCTAGTGTTGGGTCTTTCTGTATGAGGAAGCTGATAAGCTGCAGAAAGCCTAGCCACCAAGGTTACCAATATCTGGAGCACGTGATCTGTGAGGAAAGCTTAAGGAACTGGGCTTTTTCAGCCTTAAGGAAAAATGTCATAATGGGATGAGGCAACCTAACACTCATCTCCCAGTAATGAAGAGCAAGGCACCAAGAATAGAAGCCAGGTTCTTTACTGAGGTGGACAGGGTGAGAATGACACAATGATACAAAACTGAAATAGGAGCTTCAACTGGATAAAGAGGTGTAATAGAGGTGTATATAAAGAGGTGTATATATTAGAGGCGTTCAAAATCCACTGGACAAAGGACTGAGAAATCCAATCTGAATCCAGCTGAGTGCAATTCACTGAGGTCATCTATCTCCCAAAGTCCCTTTACCATGTGAATGATTCTATGGTTCTAATAGAAGTCACTCTTACAAAATGAGAAGAGCCTACTTTAATGTTCCTACAAAAACTGCTGCAAAGTTTGGAGCATAGCAGAATAGGATAACTAGAAGCATTTGTACAACGCTTAACCCTAAATGTGGTTTAAGCAAAGCAATGCCAGTGATAAGGAATGGTTTAATAATCCTTATGGTTGTACTGAAAAAAGACACTCACCTTCTTTGATTCAGTCAATATGAACTCTTCTACCTCCTTTGTCATCACCTCCTCAGGCAGGGTTTTCAGCTTCGTAGAGAGGAACTTGATGGCTCGCTCTCTCACAATATCCTCTCCCTGAAGAATTTGACTGAATAAGCCACCCAAAGTCCCTGAATGGAGAATAAATCAGGTAACACAAACGATTCTAGAAGAGCTGAACTTTCCCTGCAAAGAATTTTTCTCCTCTAAGACTCTGTGAAACATCTGCTGTACTAACTTCGATGAAAAATCGTAATTGACATAAGAATCCACATTTTTTTCCTTGGGTTGTACAATTACAATACAAAATCATTAAAAAATTCAGTATCTTTTGTAAAAACCAAGTGGTGACTTTGCGTCTCACTTCTGATACTAAGAAGATACAAAACTGAGTCCTGTTCTCATGCTACTAGAGACTGGGAACTATTACTAAAATACACTTACAAAAAGATATGTCCTTTACCTTTAGCATCCATCTTAAATATACTGAGCAAAGCATTGTTCACCAAGTTGAATTCTGCAGAATCATCTGAAGAGAGCAAAAAGAACAATATGCATATCCTTGAAATGCAAACATTAGAGCAGAAAACCGAAGAAAGATCCCTGGTATCACACAAGAAGTATTCCACCCTCAGCATTTGATTATAAACAATATAACTTGTATTTTTAATGACTACTAGACAGAGGAAGTAGAAAGCCACAATTATGAAAGCTGAAAGCGAAACAAAGGCGTTATTTGCCACTTCAGCCTCCCTGCCAAAACTTTAACATCACAAACTTGATAGGAATGAAAACTTGAAGGGCAGTTATTATTAAATATGTTTAGTAAATTTAAGGAACATATGAGTAAACAAGCTGACTTCTAGTAAATTAGAATCATAGAATAGTTAGGGTTGGAAAAGATGTTAAGATCATCTAATAAACTTCTCCTGTTTATTAAGGTTAAATAGTTATTTCTTTTTAAATTCTTAAGTCATCTGCAGTATTTCTAGGTGGAAGAAACAATTTTCCTCCTGAACTAGAGAAATGTTCAAGTTAAGTCTTAAAAGAACTCCAACTCTTCCAGTAAGAAGAGAATTGATCATGCATTTTTAACATCAATTTCAAGATCTAGTATTTAGCACTCTGTAACTTACTGAGGTTAAAAAAACCCATACATACTGTATATTACATTTGGGATTTATTTTGTACCAAAAATGCACTGTATGGAAGAATATGCCTTCAGGATTTTTAAAGTTCCTGAGTGGATTAGCAACCCAATAACTTTTTCAGAAGGCAACTTGTTCCAGTCTGTAACTGGAAGGGATTTTGTTGTTGTGTCCCTCTCCCCTCCCTTTCCCTTTTTCTACAGGTACTTTAAGAGAACTTGAATAAAACCAAAAAAGGTCAACTTTAAAGAAAGATTTTCAGTTTAGATTAGGATAATGAGAGACCTTTCAGCAGAAGTAGCAGCCTAACTGTACGGCAAATATAAAGGGGTTGGGGTGAAAGAGCAGTCCATGACCGGCACTGGGGCAAACTGCTTTGTAACCAATTATGAATCAACAGAAAACATTTTCTAGAACAAAACTGTATACATTTTTAGGTATGCCACAAGGAGATCAATCAGGAAACTACCAATGTCTCCTACCTGACTGCAGGAGCTGGGTCAGTATGTCTGCTACCCGAGGAAGATTATCTCCAGTGGCAAACTGAGGCAATTCCTTGATCGCTTGTCGCCGAATCTGCCAAAATTGTCAGTATTATGGAATTAATAAATTTAGATAATAATAAACCATAATTCAGGCAATTAAACTAACCAAGTTTAGCAAAAAAACAGTCAAATTTGAGAAATGAACCACATTCTTTTAACAGGAGTATCATATTCAGAAAGTGAAATACAAATTTCAGACGTTAATGGCAGTTTAAACTTCCTATTTGCTATGAAACTATTATGATGTCTTTTTCTCAGATCTAAGCAGCACTGGAGAAAAAACAAATTCAAGCAGCACCTCTATTCACAAAATCATTCAACCAACGAAATAAAGGGCTGGAATCTGTGTTAGTGTGGAGTCTTACTTGCTAAAAGGAAGGATAGTTCTCAGTGGTGCACATGGCAGAGGGGAACTCTAGGTTGAAAAAACCTTGAATGATCTGCCCAAATCATTTAACATGTGATAATCACAGAATCGTAGAATGGTTTGGGTTGGAAAGGACCTTAAGATCATCCAGTTCCAACCCCCCTGCCATGGGCAGGGACACCTCACACTAAACCATGTCACGCAAGGCTCTGTTCAACCTGGCCTTGAACATCGCCAGGGATGGAGCATTCAGAGCTTCCTGGGGCAACCCATTCCAGTTCCTCACCACCCTCATACTAAAGAACTTCTTCCTTATATGCAATCTAAACTTCCCCTGTTTAAGTTTGAACCCGTTACCCCTTCTCCTATCACTACAGTAATAATCAAAGTACAATCAAAGACACTTCAAAGGTACAGCTTCTAGCAACAGTACAAAAGCAGCATGAAGCATCCCAAGACTTCTGTGAGAATACTACATTCAGAATCACATCCCCATGGCCCCTGGTTGTGAAGGAAGTTTTCTTGCCTCCCTACTGTATTTTATTAGGATCAATTACCACAAAGCACTTTTTGAAAAGAAAAAATGTAACAGATATGCAAATAAACTGTTTCTTTCTATTTTTCTTTCTACAGAGCTATACCTTTGATCAATAGTTGAGTGAAAAAGACAAATGGAAACTTACGTATTTCCCCATACCATCATATAACAGGAATATAACTAAGTATTCTTAAGCTTCGGAAAGATCAAGTCTACCCTTCCCAAAAGACTAATAAAAATATAAATTCAAGGTATCAACTTGCTACAAGGTTCTTAATTCTTACAGAAACATCTTCATCCTCACAGAGGTCCAGCTGGGCATTGATAGCCGAGTCAGCTAGCTCAGGAAAATGCTTGAAGAACTTAGGAATAAACTGGGCTGCGAGTCTCTTCTCCTTGGCACCTCCCTTCACGCCATCCAAGATCACCTGGTACGCATCCTTATGCTGGAAGAGGAGAAACAGAACACAGTTAGAGAAATCTTGGCTTATTCTCAAGACAAGAATTTTTTTTTCTCTCACTATTCAGCTATATAAGTCAATTATATTATACAAGCTTCATACAAAGAAATACATTTATCTCTTAGGCCACTATAAAACTGTGCCGTTTATTAAAATTTGCCTCTATTGTCTGGTTTTCACTGTTACTCTGGTTCCTTTGTTCAAGTGCCTATCAAATGCCTACATTCAAACTGCCAGCCCTAAGGCTAACAGCTCTTGCTATTACATTAGTGCAGACTCAAGGAATGACATGGTCACCTTCACTAAACTTGGGCAGTTTTTCAAGGGATTTCTACCTTCTGCCTATTTACCATCTCTCAAGGAGAGGCCACTTCTCATAAAAACCGTGCCAATGAAACAAATAACATAACTTTTAACATACACAGGGCTAAAACATCTTTGGCATCTATTCAAGCAGTTAACCTGAGATAAAGCACGGCTCTTAAAAGATGTGTTGAATAGAGACTATATAAAAAAAAATGGTAAATCTCCAGCTGAAATATAGAAATAAACACTTCAGGAACAGAATAGAATATTGTCTACCTGCTCCAACTAGAATCACACAGACATACCAATTTTGTGCCTGCAGGACTGAAACTTTAGAATAAACTGAAGTCTTTCCTGTGGTTAGCTATGTGCTTGCAAAAAGAGAAGTCAGTAGTATTAGGATAACAGCAGAAATTAGTTCAGTCATTAATTTTCCTTATGGTTATGAAAATGTTTTGGGCAACTTTTAACAGCAACAACAGCACAGGACACTTGATTTACATTAAATCTCCCAGAGCCACATACATGGTCACTCTTACACCACATAGAAGTTCACCCATAGCAAACAGATCCTAATTTACAAAGCAGCACAGGGCATTAATTCTCTCTAAAGGAAGCTGTGTTTAAACACTGAGTACCAATGCTCCTTCAACACTCTCTACACCTTGTTGATAGGTGTACTTGGTGCCAGATTCTGAACTGGATTGGGACATGGATCTGGAAGAAAAACAACCAAGGAATAAAATGACTGCTTTTCAGCTGATCCACATCCCCACCAGTCTGCTCTGCAGGTGTGCCAACACCGTGCACTCAACAGCAAAGGCAGAACGAGCCAGCACAAACTAACAATGGGATACACATTATTACAGTCACAGGTTCTCAGACTGCACATTAAGAATAACTTTTCTGCGGAACAAATTACTTAATACATGTTAAAATAGCAGACATATAGCAGTGGAACAGAGTAGCTTGTGTTCCATGAATTTATATGCCTTCATATAAAGTGCAGCTCAGGCAGGAGCTTGCAATGCTCAAGAAAAGAGCAGGCAACTGCAGAAGCAGTGTAATCCTTCAGTATTCCATGCTTCCTCCCAATCTGTTATACAGGAACATCTTAAACCAGAGACAGCATCAATAATTGTCAAGTGAACATTAATTTCTCTAGATTACTTCTTGAACCAATTCTGTAATATCCTGTGACAAGTTGCACAATGTGTTATGGAGAAAAGTTTGACTTCCTCTTTATTCAAAGCCTGCTTACTAATAGGTTTTTTCCAAGTTCTCACCTTCATTTCGCTCCTGAGTAGACTTATCACACCTGAGCCCCTTTCTCAGCTGAAACACACTTTTACAAGCTCACCATTTCCAGTCTTTTAAATGACTTCTCTTAATGTCATACTTCTGTTTGTCCCCTTGCTCTTCTTGTTGTGTTCAAAAGATTTCATTTTTGAGACAGGGTGACTGACTTTTTTGTAGTGAGAGATCATGTTTATGAATTTCAGAGGTAATAAAGGCATAAGTGGGATAAAACTGATGAATAAGGAACAATTGCTCATGGCTTCCCAGAGTGCAAAACTTGGAGACATCAACTAAGATTATGAAACGACAAGTTCAAAGGGGGTAACTTCTTCACAAAGGCTAATGGAATATTTTGCCACAGATCATCTGCATGCCACAAATATCAGTTTAAAAAATGGCATCAGAAAAGTTTGCTGAAGAAGAATCTCGCAAGACCTAGTAATTACAAATACACTAGCTCTGGCTCCATAATCCTACAAGCTGGAACCCTTGGGGTTTCTTACCCATCTGCACAAGCTGCATTTCTTAACTACACTGCAGTTTGTTCTTCCTGAGATATCCATCCCTGCCTTATAAAAGCTACCCACAACTGTCAAAATGATGGCGGACTATGTATGCATAGAGCAGCACTGTAACAGCACCTGTTTTATTCTGCATCTCTCCCCCTCGTTTCCAACATTTTCTGTGTATATTTTGGTTGTCTCCGAGATGTTTTTTAAGAACTGTCTGCAAGGATTCTGCTTTGTTTCACTAGTGCAGAATTACACATGCAAAGCAAACAGATTTGAATCTAAAAGCTTAAAAAAAAACCCAAAACCACAACACCCAGCCACTTACTATACTATTTGTTCTCCTGAAGAACTTTCCAAATGACTTTGCATAGTAGTATCCCGTTTAAAACCCATTGCCAGCTATGTGCAAAGCTACTTTCCAACTTACACAGAATAGTTAGGATTGGAAAGGACCTTAAGATCATCAAGTTCCAACCCCCCTGCCATAGGCAGGGACACCATACATTATGACAAAATAATAATTACAAAATAATCTGCTTTTTCAGGCAGCCACTCAGTAAAATGAGCACACAATGCAATTCAAAAACTAGCTTCAAGTAACCATAATACTTTGTACTGGTAACACATGAAGGCATCATTTCTTTGATTAATTCAGTAACGCTATGAAAACTGGCACATCCCTCCAAGATTTTTCAGCTAAAAACCTCCTTTATCCGTGAGGATCAACCTTCCATGCTTGCCTTAGGAAAATACAAAAGGGCTACGGGCAATTATCAAACCGTAACAGCCTTCACCTTCCTCCAACAACCCTTTCAGCAGGAGAGCGCTCCGGAACTGCAAGTGCACAAATCAAACATGGACAACTACGGGTGTTTTAAGGCGAAACTCCCCGCTCCCATGCAAAACGCAGCCTGATTCTAGCTAATAACTAGCTAGTGCCCTTGGGCCTACGTTTAAAAGAACTGCCCATAGGACGGGAGGAGGAAGATGCCGCAAAAGCGACTAAAGACGCTGCCGCCGACCCTGCAGAGCCGCCAGCGCCAAGCTCATTGCTTCCCGCCCCCACCCGTGAGGGAACCTACGCGGATAACAGCCGCGGGGCTGCCCGGGTGTCCTGCGGCCCGAGCATCCCGTCCAGCAGGACCCCGTCCCGCCCGCCCAGCCTGGAGCCGTTCGTGGCGGCGGCGCCGCGGCATTACTCAAGCCCCGGGCCTAGCGAGGCCTTGTAGGCCGCAGGCACTCCGCACCTGGCTCACGGTCTCGGTGGCGTCCGCCAGGATGCCATAGTTGCGGTAGAGCTCCTCCACGGTGGGCATGGTGCGGCGGGGAACGGGCGCGACCGCCGCTGCTACCGAGGCCGCCGCTGACTTCGCCACCGCTCAGGCCGCTGCTCCCCGCTCGGGCCGCCGCCGTCAGCACCAACGAGGCCGCAGTCCCAGAGCGGCCGTGTGGCGGCGCCTGCACAGCGCCCCCAGGCGGCGGGCGGTGGAGCTGCGGGCAGGGATAAAGGCGGGAGCTCCCCCTGCATGTGTTTATGAAGCTATGGCTGTTTCCCCCCAGCTAATCCTTCCTCTATCCCTTTTTGACTCCTGTATACAAGCACTGTGTGGTGCACTGAGCTCCTGGTGTCAGAAGGAGGCTGTTTTCACGGGTAATGAGTTAAAACTTAAACAGGGGAGATTTAGGTCAGATACAAGGAAGAAGCTCTTCCCTGTGAGGGTGCTGAGGCGCTGGCACAGGGTGCCCAGAGAAGCTGTGGCTGCCCCATCCCTGGCGGTGTTCAAGGCCAGGTTGGACACAGGGGCTTGGAGCAAGCTGCTCCAGTGGAAGGTGTCCCTGCCTGTGGCAGGGGTTGGAATGTATCATATTTATATATATTGCACCATAACACATATATAATATTTATATATATTGTATCATAGCATGAATTTATTGAATATTCTTATATATTGTATCATAACACATATATATTATATCATATTTAGGTAAATACTGTATCGTAGCATTGAGTGCGCCCTCAGCAAGTTTGCCGATGGCACCAAGCTGTGCGGTTCGGTTGATACGCTGGAGGGAAGGAATGCCATCCAGAGGGACCTTGACACGCTTGGGAAGTGGGCTGATGCCAACCTCATGAAGTTTGACCATGCCAAGTGCAAGGTCCTACACCTGGGTCGGAGCAATCCCAGGCACAGCTGCAAGCTGGGCAGAGAAGAGATTTAGAGCAGCCCAAGGAGAAAGACTTGGGGTGTTGGTCAATGAGAAAATGAACATGAGCCAGCTTCAGTGTGTGCTCGCAGCCCAGAAAGCAACCGTATCCTGGGCTGCATCAAAAGGAGTGTGACCAGCAGGTTGAAAGAGGTGATCCTGCCCCTTTACTCTGCTCTCGTAAGACTGCACTTGGAGTATTGTGTGCAGTTTTGATGTCCTCAACATAAAAAGGACATGGAACTGTTGGAACAAGTCCAGAGGAGGCCACAGGGATGATCAGGGGACTGGAGCACCTCCTGTATGAAGACAGACTGAGAAAGTTGGGGCTGTTCAGCCTGAAGACCTCATAGCAGCCTTCCAGTATCTGAAGGGGGGCTATAGGGATGCTGGGGAGGGACTCTTCATTAGGGACTGTAGTGACAGGACAAGGGGTGATGGGTTAAAACTTAAACAGGGAAAGTTTAGATTAGATATAAGGCAGAAGTTCTTTCCTGTAAGGGTGGTGAGGCACTGGAATGGGTTGCCCAAGGAAGCTGTGAATGCTCCGTCCCTGGCAGTGTTCAAGGCCAGGTTGGACAGAGCCTTGGGTGCCATGGTTTAGTGTGAGGTGTCCCTGCCCATGGCAGGGGGTTGGAACTGGATGATCTTAAGGTCCTTTCCAACCCAAACAATTCTATGATACTATGACAGAAGGTAAGGACACAATGAAAGTCCCACACTGGAACAGCGGTTTAACCCTCAGGTACCAAACCTGGGAGGTACCTTATTGTCCACTGCGTGCTTGCTTCAGTACCCAGGGGGTAATAAAGTGTCTGAAATTGAGTCCATTTTATGCCAGAGGAGCAGTTGATCCTGAATCCTTCTTATGGTCTGTTTCTCACTCTGTCCAATCCAGTTGCTAACAGAGCCCAGCGTTACAAATGGATACAGCAATTATCCCTCATCCACCTTAAGAATTTCTCTGTTTCTCAGAAAAAGATCTCTGCTCATCAGTGGGGAATCCAGTAAATGCATACAAATGTTCAGAGATGCCTTTCACTGGCACACATTAAAGCTGTCTTGTGTGCTTATAAGCATCTAAAGGCTGCCTTCAACCATGTGCAATATCCCCCAGATTCCTTCTAGTGCAATGTCACTTTCCTGCAAAATTCCTCTTGTGAGAAGGCTGTCTTTCTAATTTTTTTTTAGATTGTTTAATATTTTGTATATTTTTATTTTATTTTTGCTTCGATTATTTCCCACAAGGGGCATCAGTCCCTGCAATAGGTGCATGGAAAAGCAGCGCAGGCCCCTGAGCCCAGACCCCTTTGCTCCAGGCCCCGCGGCCCCAGGTCCCTCAGCGGAGGTCCCGCAGTTCAGACGCCTCCGCTCAGGCCCGTCGGTCCCGTCCCCGCGGCCCCAACCCCTGAGCCCAGGCCCCGCCGCTCAGATGCCGCGGCCCAGGTCCCCGGGCCCTGGCCCCGCTCCCCGTCGCGCCAGCAGGCGGCGCTCTGCCCTCGCAGATGCAGCCCGGTGACGGGCCCAGGCGCCCGCCCTGAGGTGAGGGGACGGGGTGTGCTGGAGCGGTGTCTGCCGCCATTAGCAGCCTGGAGAGGGGCTTTTACAAGCTTCCAGCGGGCTCTCTGCCCTCCCTCCTCCGTGTCAAGCACTACGCGTGGGATGCGCTTTCACATCTGGCCGCGTATCCCTCATGGGAGCGGTGCCTGTCTGCTCATCCCCTGGCCTGCTGCGCAGCCCCTGCGATGGTGAGTGCTGCCTCAGGGTCACAGCACTGCTTTCCTCGCCTTCATTTGCTGTTCTGGCACCGGCAGTGAGACTTTGATGGTGTTTGTAACGGTGAGGAGAATCAGCACAGCACGGAATAGGATAAGCAACCTAAAAACTCCTTTATTCAAGTGAAGGCCAGTTAGCACCTGGTACTGCCAGGGGGTTGTGCTCATTTGTAGTTACAGGACACTCACTTCCTCGTTATACCCACTGCGGTGAAAGGGTGAAGATTCTGTGACACTCAATATTGTATATGGATGAGCTCCTGTTGCTCTGGGGCTTTTTGCAGCTATCAGGCTTCTGTGTGCACCCTGATGCATCAAAGAGAAGTCAAGTACTGAATCCCCAAAGGCTGCAATTTTGAGGTGTCACATAAAGGGTTTTAAGGAGAGAAGATGGGGCAGGTTGCATAAAATCCACTTGTATTCTGCTGAGAAACAGCTCAAGAACAACTTCAGGTGAAGGAATCCTGCCTCTCAAGTTGAGACTATATGAAATAAAGTCGATTTGTTGATCCCTCCTGAAGCCCCTCACTAAATCTAGTCTGACTCTTCAAACAGCACTCTTCAAATAGCTCCTGATACAACAGACTCAGCCCCCAGTGTCAGTCTTTACCCACCCCTTTCCTTCTGCAAACAACTCATAAATATCAGGGCGGTTTTACTGACCTCAGTAAATGCTTGTGGGCAGGAAAAGGTGATACCAGAGACTGCCAATGGGAGGCCATTAAGATTGATGTTCTGTTTCCACAGCCGCTGTCATCTGGGAGGACCTCTACAGTTTTACAGTCTAAAGGTGGTGGGTAACTGGGTCTGAGGGAAAAAGCAGAGGAAGAACAGGAGTTTCCTTCCTATATATCATAGGAAGGGCTGAGCAACACTCAGCAGGGCAGCTCCCATGCAGTCAGGTGGGATGGTGATGGAGAAAAGCAAGGTGAGAGGGAGAAGATGCAGAGATATTGTTCTGCTTCCTACTCTGCACCAGCTGGCAGAGCTTGCTAGTTGTGTGGGTGAGAAGAAGAATATGCTCTACCCCAGGAAGGATTTTAGGAGCAGGCACAATTCTTTTCATACCAAAATGCTCTGACTGCTTTCTTGTGAGTCCTGAGAGGCAAATCTATCTCTTAACATAAGTCAATGGATTTTCACAAAGCTGAATAAGCTCCATTCTCTTTTATAAGATGATTTTTTCCAGCAGCTAGGCAAAAAAACCTCCACAACCAACCAACCAAAACAAAATATTCACATGCTAGCCCTGAAATCAAGCAGGCACCTGGTAAATCATTTCCAAGTGGCTCTCTCCAACATCTCCTTACCCAGAAGATACTCCAGGTATGCAGCTCCCACATGCGACAGAAATCCTCTCATGGTAGACAACGGGATAGCAGAGCAGCATGTACACAATGACAGGAAGAGGGCTGTGCTATAGGACATCTGTCCGGGGAGCATCACAGCTGCTGTACAACTGCAAGTTCTTTCAGGCATTTTAGAGTGAATCAGGCTCTGGGGTGAGGTATCCAGTGCATCCTGGCCACGTTCCTTCCTCCTAGACACAGAACCTTGTAGCATTTGTTACTTGCCCTGTATTCTGGTGCTTACTCTCAAAGCCTCCACAGAACTTCCCTTTGTTAGTCTGTTTCTAGCATTGCTCTCTCATGTTGGATTTCCTACTGTACGTTCACAGATTAGCAGAAGGAAGGTGGAGCAGAAGGTGAGAAAACAGGCTGCTGGCTCACATTTATTTGTGAAAGAGAAAGCCTAAGGTCAGCTGGAGAGCAATGATTCCTGTACAGGGATAGCAGGTGGATACTGATGCTTCAGAAACCTCAAATTAGTTTTAGTTCTGTACTGAGAACAGGAATCCTGTGGTGCAGGTAGAGACTCTGGAGATGTTGGACCACCCACAACTGGCACACACATTTACAATGAAGAAATTTTGACCAGTGCTAAATAAAGCTGGATTCTGTTCTCAGTTACAGCATTATTAAGCTCTTTCCATGTCAAATCCCACATGGATAGGTCAATTTGCAGATTGCCATGGACATCTCAGGGACCTTGAGACAAGCTGTCATAAATAGCTAAGCTGCCCTGGGAGCACCACCAACATGCATTGTGGTGATGGCTGCAGAGATGCCTGCTAAAAGCAAACAGCACATCAGCAGCCCTCAGAGTTACTGTGCAAACGGAGTGTGAAATCCTGCCCCACTGCTCCACACTGTAACTTTTTGTCTACCTGATAAAGAGAAGTTTTGCTTGATTTGATGGTGGGTGGAAAGAAGGGTGTGAAAAATAACAGAACCTCCTTTGGAGGTTTCACTTGACCTTCAGGAAACGCCAAGGGAAGGTTGTGTGATCTGCACATAAAGGATTCAACTGGCTTTTTTTGTTCTAAAACCTGGCCCTGAATTTAGAAGCCCAGGGATGCATGATCTGGAATTACCATAAATAAAATGTCCCAAGCAGTTGTTAAATATTTAAAAGGCAATCTGAAG